GGTTTTGGACTCTTGGTCGGACAAAAAAACATTTATTTGACATTTAATAGACTGATTCGATTAACTAGTTAAGCAAAATATACTGCACAGATTTATTAATAAGGTAAATTATAGTTATTTTTATTTCAATTAAAACATTACTATTAATGAAAGAAGAATATATTATAACTGTCGATAGATTATATTATATTAATTTTATTTTATTTTCTGTCTCTAAAATACACACATAAAATGTTTCATTTTAAATTGTAATCCCAAAGATGCTTTTACTATTTAATTGTAGTTCCTATTGCAGTTTGTGTGTGTGTGTGTGTGTGTGTGTTCTTTAAGACTGGATCTGCGAGTGCTTTACTCACAGAAGCTGTTTCCACATACAAACCACCCTCTCCTCACCATACTGTTCCACTTACACTCTTGGAACACCAAACCATATACGCATACAGATAAGCACATGTGCACACAACACACACACACACACACACACACACATATATATACATACACGGACACACACACACACACAGAGCTAACCACATGCACATGTTCACTTGCTCTTAACTAATTCATTCAGGAACACTTTGGTTTGGGTTTCAACACCAAAACCTCTGTACCTTTGATTGAGAAATGTGTCTGACTGCAATTATATGGGAGGGAGTGGTGGAGGGAAGGATGGATGGGGAGAGGAAACACACTACAGTGGTTTTATAGTTTGCTGGCGTGACATTTTTCTCCACTTTTTTTTTTATTCCTTTCCTTTTTCCAGTGGAGGGGCATAGTGTTGACAGGGCAGGAAAAGGGGGCAGACTGAACAACCGAAGTAACAGCAGGGAAAATGTGAAGAAAATGGATGGGCAATGGGACTGAAGTGGCCTAGATTGTCACTTTTCGGCTTTTGATCAATACCTCTCAAAATAACTGCAATGCCGGTGAAATTTGTAGATACACTTGGTGAGAAAGTAATGGTAGTGATCACTGTGGACATTATCACCACTTTCAAAAATTGGAGGCAAATATAAAAGCATGTGCAGGTATGCATTTAGTGAGCGAGTAAGGCTAATATTCGGTCTTGACATATACACTAAACCCATTTGATGCTTTACATGTGTATGGCACTGTAGCATGCGTGTTGGTCACTGACCTGCAGTATGTAGCCCCTGACGTAGTCTCGGAGGGTCCAGCCCAGGCCGTGCAGGATGTGCAGCACCTCTTCCTGCTTCAGCACAGAGAAGAGGCGGTCGAGAAGGATCTTGAGCCTGACCGGTACGGCCTGAGTGCCGTAAAGCATCAGACTGCTGATGTCAAACACCACATTGGACTGAACAATCTCCACCTGGGTCGGGTGGTACAGGTGCTGGGTGCTGAGCTTGTCCAGAGCTGTATGGATGACCGGGAGAAAGAAAAGAAAACGCACAGCACACACACACAAAGGCACTGTTAATGAATATCAAGTTTCTCTCTCATCTCAAATCTTCCTTCAGAGGCTACTGCACGGTCAGCACTGGCTGATAATAACGTATCTATTAGATAAAAGCAATGACATTAATGTAATTATCTGCCATTCTTTCAATTTAATCTAATCTCTTGCTCTTTCACATTTACGCTGCCTTTGCATCTCCGTTTTTATTTGCCTCTTCTGTCTCCATCTCGACTCAAACCTGCAATACATCCACCCTGTTTTGTCTCAAATCTGAAATTCCTCCTTTCGTTGTGGCTGATCAGGTATGTGCTCACATGGTTTATGTACTATGAAGTCAAGGATGTAGGTTTGGTTTTCTGTATTTATAAATATCCATATCTGTCTGCTGTAGCAAATGTCATATTAAATTGGTTATCATGCTTTGCATAATAATAACATTCATAATAACACACCTAATAACAGAAATGTTATGTAAATTACAGCGTTATTAATGCACTAACCCTGCTTAAAATCATGTTAACTTTCCTTGATAGAGCTGTATGATAAATAATGATAATGGTGTATTTTTATCTGTATTACTACAAAGAGCACTGTGCTTTACTGTATTATCTTTGACTGGTGTTCAATAGCGTGTTTTTAGTAGAATTTAGGAGAAAGATTAAACAGTTTTTTTTTTTTTACCCAAAAACATGCAGAGGAGGTGAAAGTACTTTTGTCAGTGCTGAGTATTATCTGCAGTGTCTCTTGCTGCATACAACCATGACAAACTTAAGCAAAAGGATAGAGTAGCCTGTATGCTGCCTGAATGTCAAAACTTAGGGCAAAAAACTCTGATCATTGGCTGCTGCTCGTAGGTTTCTTTTATTGCCCCTATCTCAACCTCAGTCACCTCACTCCCCTCTCTCGATGTCTGGGCGACACCTGGTCGACTCAGTCGCTCTCTCTTCCCTTACCTCATACCTCTCTCTCCCCCTCTCCCTCCCCTCTTTCCCTGCCTGTCTGTGTGACACCTGGTTGGGTCTCTCTCTGATCCTGGGACGGCTTTTTCCTGCTGACGAGGGCTTTGCCTGACAACAGAGCGCAGCCAGACACGAACATAATAAAAAATGAAGAACTACTTGTCAGAGTCCCTGCCAATGCCGACATGAAATGAAAAGTGGGGGAGTGGAAAGATGGGTGCCTGACAGTTCAGAGGGAGAGATTAAAAAATAGTCAATGGGGTCCTGTGCGATCCGCTGAAGGGCCCATGGCTCGCTCTTGTGCGGACGCAAGCCAAACAGGTGTTTTCTTTTTTCTTTTTTCCCTCCTCTTTCTCTTTGTACTTCTTCTTGCCTCCTCTCCTTTTTTTTTATACCCGCGTGAAAAACTCATAACGTGTGGTCTCCCGCTTCTCTATCTGTCTTGTGGTTGTGTTCTTTTTTTTTTCTTTTTTTTGATCTAAGGTGCAAAAACAAGACTTTGAAAGAAACAGAAAAATACAGAAGCAAACAAAAACAACAAAGTTACTTCTACTATGGAAAATGAGTAAAAACATTTGGATTCTAGTAAATTCACAACCACAGATAGAGAAAATACCTGCAGTAAAATATATAAATATATTATAATACAAAATGATACATAATAAAATTGTGAAATATGAGGGATGGATTCATGCTGCTGGCATCGGTCTTCATTTTCTATACGCAGTAGAAAGTACAGATATGTAGGTCAGGATTTCTAATGTTTCTAGAGCAAGAGGAGGTAGTTTTATAAGGATTAGTAACTAAGTTTATATTTATTTACACCCTATTTACATACACCCGTCACCCTAACAATGAATTTACTTACCGTGAGCTACCCAGCCGTGTTTGCACTGGTCACATGTTCGTAGGTGAATCTTCCCTGGCTGGAAACACTCACATGTGCAGTTCACCAGTGTGCAGCGAATGGCCTGCAGAGACACAGGAGAGACAGACAAATCTATGTCAATCACGGCTTGAGTTCAAATGAGAGATAATAAAGCCAGGACAGCGATAGAGCGGTTATCAAATAGAAGTCATAAATACAAGTAAGAAGCACAGGGACTATTATTACATAGACTGTTGCAGAACAGCAAATCCCTAAACCTCATCTCATACTGAACATAATACTTTGTCCAGACTGTTACATATTCAGTAAGTGACTTATCATCAGTAACTGCCACGAAAGAATAACTCACAGCCACCAAATTTTCGAACTGCTATTTCATTACAATGTGTGAATCTGCCTCTCTATACGGTAATTTCCAGAGTTCATGTGAACTGACAAAGGACTTCCCTTCCTGAAAACACAGAAATGTAACTTGTTTTGACTGAGGCTCCATTACTCAACACTGGAGCTGCACTTAGTCTGACCCCGGAAAGCTTTTAGTAGTGAGAGGTTAAGTGTCCAGACTTGACTGAGGGCAACTCAGTACAGCACAATGCATCGTCTGCTGAGGCTTAAGCCCTCACAGAGGGCCGTTAAAAAAAATTCGGGCACATTTTGCAGGTCATTTGAACCTGTAAGATGTTTCACATTCTTCAAACAGTAAAGAGATTGTACACCATGGAGAAAATGTATGATATACACAGAAATCAACACAAATGAATACAGCTTTATCATCCAAATGAGTGCAGCAGCTGGGAGCCGTAGATTTCCCACTGACATGGAGAAACACAAGGACAGAATAAAAGGAGCGAAAACAGAAAGAAAAGAAATGAGAAACATGAATCTTAATAAGCATTGGCAGGCCTTTGTTTATCAGACATTTTTTACATTATCAAGATGAATTGAGGAATAAAGATAGTAACACTTCTGCAACCTGAACTGCCTAAAGGGAATGTGCGGCAGTGTAGCTGGTACAGGAAACCTTGATTATTGGAAAAAAAAAAACCTTGGAACTGTTTCACTAAAACATTGCTTATCTTTTTTTAAATCAAATATTGTATTTCTTTAACATTAGCATGTAATCTAAGTATGTTGGCTGCTGATGTTAGAATGAAAAAAAAATACTCCAAGTTAATAACATGCCATTTTAAATCGCAAATCCACATGATGAAGATAATGTATTTTACATTTGGCACATATGTTGTTTAGTCAATGCTGAATGACTAAAGATTTTTTTTAGGCTGTAAAGAAAAAAAGAATTTAATGACTTAAATTGCAGAGCAAAAATTTCAGGAATGCTTGAGGCAGGAAATTGGTTATGGTGTACAAGGTGACTGCAATGAGTAGCTGCCTGTTTATTTTGATAGGAAAATCCTAAATTCATCACTCAGCAAATCCAGTTCTGAGGAAATGTGAAGACACTATCTGTAGAGAGATACATGTGGGTGTCAGAGACAAGAAGAGGAAGACAGTGACAAAAAACTGCTTTCCACACATCAAAGCCATATCAGAGTCCACTATGAATTTACAATCTGCACTAAATATGCTATCTAATATTGTCCTGCTGTTATTCTTATAAGGCACTGGTGTGACAATAGTGTGACACAGACATGCACATAAGGGGTCGTAGGTTGGAGTCCATGTCTGCGCCAGCAACCTATATTTCACAATGTCCGTAACAGTCAATCAGCAGTTCCAGATAGAAAAAGATCAGCCTTTACGTCACACAACTGAGGTCAATGCACGATCCCTAACGTCAGAATATTTCTGCTTTTTACTTTATGTGTAACACCAACCTACCAGTGCTGACCCAAGTGCCCATTCTGCTATTTAACTGTGGCAAATAACATAACCTAGTTGGTGGATTAGACCAATAGTCTGTAATTCAGGATATAAAACTCAGCTCACTCATAATCTACTGAGGGACCATAAAATCAGAATCCCCCCTTGCTCGCCCTAAGGTGTCGTAAACCAGATTAGTAACTGGAGGTGTCAAAGTGAACATGGGCTAATCCAAGATTAAACACAAAATTACGCCACTTCTAACCATGTCACCTCACTGTTTGACACCGAATGAGAAAGGAGACAGAGATTATTTGACTTTACACCATTTTTAAGCTCTCCAGGTGCAGGCATGGCAATCCTCACAGAGTGTGAGGATTATACGCCATGTGTCAGTTAGAGTGTACATACATTATGTGCTGAGCTAAAGTTCTTATCCAGACCAATGCGCAATAAGTGAGTTCCGCGTTCCCCTTCAACCACATTTATGCAGTAGACATGGCTATTCATTTGCCATGGCTGGGGCCAAAACTGTGACCTTTTAGATATAGAATAGACTCTCCTGTCTTTGAAGCAACATCTGTGTTCATAAAGCTGTTTTATAATGCTGTTCTTCACATCCACATGCATGTTTCCCACTGTATGTTGTCATGATGTTAGATACCCAAAAGCTAGCCTACAATCTTGTCAGCAAATCTAAATCTATGGTTAAGGACACATCATTAATATATTAATCTCCAATTAAATTATTTTTTTGTATTCAACTTAAATTAACACTAAAATGGCAATGACACTGAATTGCCAGAAAACTGCTGATATTTTCATGATGAATTCATAAGCAGATTAATTTATAATAAATATAATCTTTAATTGCTGCTCTAATCGTGTTGCATAGTCCACTTCTTTGTCTGTCACCCTTAAATTTAAATTTTTGAGTGAATTCCATGAGTATTTTCCTTTTTATACAACTCTCCTTGCATTTGCAGATTTTAGAAAACTCTAATTTAGAGAACCCAAATTTAGCCCAGTGATGTCACACAACACAACCCTTTTCTAATTACCTCTCTCCGTGCGGCAGCGCTAACAGCAGCAGACGGAAATAAACAATTGCAAATATCAAATGCACCTCTGCTGTTTACGAGCTGGGGTCTGACAGCTGACAAGATAGTTAAGGGGCGTCTAATACGGCAATTAGAGCGTGCCACTGTCTGCAAGGCTGCTGCTGTGACAAGGCGCCCTCTAATCACTGACTTATTACGCTGGCTAGCAGCACCTCTCATATCTGGCCCATTAAGCAGACAGCGGCATTAAGGAGCATTAAAGCAGCAAGCCCCCTCAACTGAGGAGGAACTGACGGGAGAAAAGGGAAGGGAGGGGACGTACTGTGCTTGTTATTTCTTGGGATTAATTTGTGCATTGTTCCACATTAGGTTAGAAAAGTGTAAAAGAGTAACACAGGAGATGTTTGTGATATGACGGCATCAACATTGATCCTACGCAATAAGATGAAAGATTACAGACTGAATACAGACTTTTTTAAGAGAGGCAGCAGACGGATGTGTCATAGATGGCCATCAAAAACAACATCATCAAGGATGTGAGTTCGTCTCCGTGTGTGGCTTGTCAGAGGAAACGAGAAAGACGAAATTATAAAGACTTCTTCTCATGATTCTCACGTACTCAAAACTCTGCTTCTGTGGCCAGCATGGATCTGGGTTGTATTTGGCCGTGGTTTAACCTGTGTCTGGCCTGGGCTGGGTCAGGGACAAGCTTGGGCCCGGATCCCACCGCTACACTCGCACATATTTGTCACAGCAGGCCGGGGGAGGAGGCTGTGTTATCTGAGGCCCGGCCAGATACACAGCATTAGTCACTGTGCTAGCGTCTCGCCAGGGTTTCCTCTTTGGCTCGCAACTAAAGAGGACGACGGTGAGGAAAAGGACAGAGGGGTGTGTGTGAGCGAGTGTGTGTGAGACTTCGTAAATCACTAGAAAAATGAGCGGCTAGAAAGTGAAAGCTGTTAGCAAGTGAAGAAAATCCCACAATGCTGTAGCAATTAGACCCAGACAACAGTCAACACTCTCTCACAGCTGCTGTGTTACTGCTATGGTCAACAACTTAACCTAGCTGCGTTCAGAAAGCATCATTTTCAACCCTTATCTGGCTCAAGTGTGTGTGTCTCATTGCTGGGTTTTGTTTAGCTGGAGGCTTGATGTTTCATGGATGTTTTGCTTGGCTCGCAGTCCCTGTCCCAGCCCAATTGTATAAACACTGACAGTCAGCAATGGCCAGCATCAGACCGGGGAGGACTCTCAATTAAAAGACTGTTAGTGGGACAGATGGACTGAAGAAATGCAGGAAAGAGGAGCTGCAGAATAAGATGGCTTCAGTCTGGACTCTTGTATTCGGGTCCAAGAGGATTTTAAACAGACTGGGAAAGACGGTCTGCATGGCCCAGGATCAATACTGATACATGCAAATGTGTCCAACCCTAAACCAAGCAGCATATGTAGAGATCAACAAATACAGTGCTTTGGCCAATACAAGTTCTATGAAACCATAGAACTGAGGGTGATCCTAAACTAATATCCTGTACAACTGTATTACTACCCTGTCATTTTTCCTGGTTGACGTTGTAACTATATGCCCTCGAAAACACCACTAAAACACCACTAGTCCCTTCCAGCCTTTCTGTATCCTCCCTTGACAGTGCACAATGGAAAGCCAACCCAGACAGCTGCTGGATGCTGGGTGGGTATTGTTCCTCCTACTTTAATTGAAACCTTTACCATGTTCAACACATAGCCACAGACCACATTTCTTGTTTGGTGAGTTAAGCAAAGCCGAGATTTAAATGAAAACCCTGTGTGTACGTGCACATTATGTGTGCATGTGTGCGCCTCATCTGCAGCAGCAGCTTCAGATTTAAATTTGTCTCTGCTTAGGGTCACTGTAAAACACTGGGAGCATCTTGTCCTCTCTTCCACCCACAAGATATTATCTCATCCATGAGTTAGCTGCTGAAATGCTGTCAATTTCCTGCCAGAAATGTGCAGCCAACGTGTGTAGGAAAAGAGACACAGCAGCTTTGCGTGTCATTAAATGGGCCCTGGCTCCATCAGATAGATCAGGACTTCACAGTGTCCATATTGGAAACAGGTGACAAATAAAACACGCCGAATAAAGAAAGTCTTTGTAGTCAGACACAGCACGCCACAAAATACAGGGGAGCAAATACCTCATGCCATGGCTAATTTTTGC